CACTGTCGAGAAATTTTCCTCTCAAGATGTAAACTGTGCGACAATTTCAAGATGTGCGAACTTAAATAGGCATGAACAGTGTAATAATTCAAACTCAAAAGATTCCATTCAAGTAATACAATGATTCATAAGAGGGCATCGAAATGAACATTACAAAAGCAAACATCACGATCACTTCGTCATGGAGTATCTGAAAAATTGCCCTTGTTATACAATGCGAAGTCGTCGTTGCAGGATTAAATGGCACATAGGGCATGACTTTACCATCGAGAGAGAACCTAATGCCGCGTCCCCTCAAGATTCCATTGAGAATTGCTCATTCCGCATTGGGCTAAGCTGCAAACACTACTCAACCACTCATAAACCATGACTACTGTATTGAAGTGAAGATGCTGGTCATGCTTCCATTCACGGGAGCTCATCAAAGAACACTGTACAAAATTACCACCATACATATTTGAGAAACGATTCCGGTACTACTTTGCTATTTCATTTGCATGCGTTTTTATATTAGGTTGATGTATAATTATGCGGATTTTTTCTTGGCTTCTTTTCTCTCTATAAAATTAATTTTTCGAATTCGGGATTTTAATAGAAATAATCTTCTCCCTCTCCTCAACAGCATTATGTTTAGAAAGTCATCTTCATATACGCCAAATTATGCTCTACTACTTCGAGAAATGTTAGAAGGCGGCACACTCATAAGGTGGTCCCAGGTGCGATGGAACAGTCAGCCAAAGCCGAAAAAGAATGGAATCTGCTTCCGCGGTCGCCCTATCCACCAGTAGGTACTTCTATGGATTATCATGCCAATCGTTCTTAAAAAAAATTTAAAAAAAAAATTTAAAAATTAAAAAACAAATTTAAAAAATTCAAAAATTGGAACTAATGAACACAACTCTCGACAAAGTGGATGGTTTGATGGCCAACGTCAAGGCGTGATCGCCTGCAAGGATCGAAACTTATTCGCGTGTGGAATCCGACCGCTTAGCAAATGGTAAACAGAGTGCTTGACGCAGATGGTGGATATGTTTCGGAGCAATTATTCGAACATGTCTTTGTCAGATAATTCTATCGTTTCTTCGAGTAAAATTTGCTGAAAAAAAAATTCGCAACAATTATGCATCAAACTAATGCTTTTCTAAAAGAGGCGATCGCGATGCATGTTATAAATAACAGTTTTTCGTACCTATTTAAGGTCATACGTCTCAGTACTGGTCTCACATTCTATTCACTAATGAGTAAAGTATTTACTCACATTCCTGTAATTCTTTACCTCATTGCGCTCTGACCATAACTGCCCTGACTGTCAGCGTTGATTTTCACTAACAGCTAACTCTCTCCAGTGCAACTTTTCGGAGTAATGTGCAGCCCAGTGTATTATATGAAGGAAAATATGATCGATCTAAGCTCAGCTGATTACTACGAACTGTAACGAATTCTTTCTGGTACACGAATGGAACTGAGCGGCGTACTCCTCGATATAGAAGATGTTGTTTCAGCATCTAGCAATGGTAGCATGTTATCTTCCTAAAGCACTTCACAGACATTTTGATTGAGAAATTCAATTGCGGTCATGCATGATTTCCAGAACCACGATCAGTATGTGACGTTCAGTTCGCTTATTTTACTTCACTTACCAAAGAATAAGGGACGTAGACACAGTGACAAGTGACGCACTATCCCACGGGCCAGGTCGCGGGTTCGAATTGTGATCGACATCCGTTTGGGTGAACCAAGCCTTACATCCCTCGGTTATCGGTTAGTTGGTGCCGGACTCGTCTAGGTCGATAAAAGCACTAACTTTTTCATCCATGGCCACTGTAAGCCTCTGAATATTTAGACCACACACGCGTTCAAGCCAGATACGCTACTGCGATTCTGAATGGAAGTCGAATGGAGAGCGCATCCCTCAGATGGGATTTATCGGTGCCCAAAGACAATATATTTGAATTTACTTACCAAAAAACTGAGCGTTGTAGCGATGGGCGCAGGCTCCTCTGTTCTTTATGAATGGAAAATTCTGCGCAGACCAATTTCGTAAGCCTGCTTTTATGGCCTCGATCATCCTGCACTTATGGCTACTCTTAACGCTGCACTTTTACCGATCACGAAAGCACCAGACACTGGGGAATCACGGCCCTGCGCTTTCTTTCATCACATTTATGAATGTGAAAAATTAAATACATGTGCAAACTTTGGTCCACTATTATATGCCACCACTACAACCTATGACACGAAAGAACCTCGAGAGTGAAATACTTTCCTTGGGCATTTTGAACTTTCCTTCATTTTTTTCAATTTTCTCTTCTAACCATAAGTTTAATGACTGAACCAGGGGTGATGATGCTGATGCCCAACAACGAAGAAAACTCGTCAAAAAGTCCTTATACAATGCCTTTTTCGAACTAGTTTATTTCTACTACTGTCCGTCAAAAGCAAAGGGAGGGTCTGAGCCAGATGCCATCCGCATCAAAGCAATGCATGCCATAAGGAAAAGAACTGGTCCAACCTAAGAATCCTTGCCTTGGACCCTCCTTTATTGGAGCAATTTTCTCACAAACTTTGTCGTTAAATTCAACCTAACCACCAGTCCCTCAGCTTGTGAGGGGTGGAAGTCGAGGCGGTCAAGCAAACGAGGAAAAAACTGTTTGGTTTGAAAACTAGGCATTCCAAATCTATCGACTTTGCATCGATGGCCAGCGGATCAACCGCAAGCAGATGCCAGAAGAAGAGGGTGCTCGAGAGCAACGCTCTATTTCAGAGAAGCAGCTCCAGAAGTGCAAACATTATCAGGAAATGTTAGACAATCCTCTCCAAAGTATCTCGTGGCTACGCTCCACCAAAGACTCGCTCAGGAACTTGCAGACATCGTCAAAAGGATGGTAAGTAGTAGTAAGTACTTGGACAGTTCCTTCATCAAAAACCTTCTTGAAAAATTTCTTGCCTGAACTGCCAGTGGCAGTTGAATTCAATCCATAAAAGCAACAGCGGGCGGTTTCACCACTCTCTCCTATAGTGTACATTAATTCAAGAGATTCGATTTAGTTTATCCAGTAAAGGTTTCAAGATCTGGCAATTAACAACTCTTTCATGAAAAATGTTCAGTGTTGTATATGTAGCGTTCAGTAATGGTGTAATTTGTGTGAACTGTATTACATGATGGCAGGGGGAAACAGCCGAAACTGAGCAGAAAAAACACAAGTGCCACATAGCGCAAGTCATAAAGGAGGTGATTGTGGAGAGCAATCCTTGTTTAGGTAAAGCCCTATCGTTTGCTAGCAACCACTCTCCCATACAATTTATGGGTAAACCCCCATATAAGCTAATAACCACTCTTCGATACGAGCTACCGTCAGTCACTACAACTGTTGGTATGAAGCCTTTCTTGCCCAACGTCGTTTGTGAAGAGTACTCCTCCTGCTGTCAGAATAGTGCCTAATTGTTTATACGTTTTTCTCCTGCCATGCTAACTCCGTGCAAATTCGAGTGGCTTTAATGTTTTAGATTGTTTTCTTCTTGATACATTCTTCTACGGATCGTTAATCTAACCAATTTAACGGTGTAAGACCGTCCAAAATTGTAAAATTATTTTATTTAGTGCCGGAGCTGTGATCACCTGAAAATGGTCGCATGCTGCTCGAATCGTTCTTTTCAGCATTCAAAAAAACATGTAATGGAATGAATCAATGCCAACATGGGTCTTTGTCGAAAGCTCAAAAGAACACAAGAAGAGACAGGGTTTGGGCAACCACTGTCTCACCGAGTTTTTTGGTTACTGCGGTGGATTATATTAACAGTAATCTTCTGTCTTTTCATAAGATGGGAGAGGTGCAATGGCCAGTGGTGCACACTACCACACACGCGTTCCCTGGATTCTCGGATCGACTTCCGCCCAAAAAATTCTTCCATCCCTTTGGGGTCAGCTTATTGGTACCAGATTCGCCTGGATGGGCTAAAGACCTAACTTGTTTGTCGGGTTCGTTACGGCAACTAATCGCATAGGTCACTTACAAATTGTCACCAGCATTGTGAATGGAAGTTGAATGTGGCACATCACAAAAACAGGATTGATTTAAGCGAAAAGCCTGTGTATGTATATCCTTTAATTGTTTCGTGTGTTCGAATGCCCTAAGCATCCGGATAAAGAGCAGCTTTCAGAAATATAGGACCACTTCCACAAAAACAGGCATGTGGCAAGTACATGTACGCGCAACCACCTCCATTTTGATGATGTATTATGGGCTGTTGTAAGCAATTCAAGAAAAGTGCGAAAATGTAAAAATCGGCGAATTTTACGAAATAAGGGCTTCAAAGGAGCATTAAGAAGGACGAGTTGGGGAAGG